TAAATTCGCGAGATATCGTGTGTCCTCGTGACTTCAGCTGTCAGTCATGGCCGCAGCCGTTCTGCAACAAATCCGTATCTGGTAGGTATTGAAGGACGGCGCAGCACGGATCCGACACGCAGCGGAGCCAATCCGCAGCCGTTCTGCAGTTGGTGGAAATCCGGGGTCATTCTCTCACAACTCGTTACGTTAATTTAAGACTTTATTTAACTCATTTAAGACTGCTCTTATGTTGTGAGGATACTCGACAAAACGGACATTTTGGCGTAATTGTGTGTGTGTGTTGTTGTTCGTTCAAGCGCGAAAGAGAACTTGATTCTGACGCGCTGTCTTTCTGTGCGTCATGTGTGTGTGTGTGTGTGTGTGTGTGTGTTACAAAGGACATTCACTGAAAGCGTGTTTTGTCTTTTGTCGTATCGTTTGGTTTAAAAGCATTTGCATGAAAGAGCGTGATCATATATTTTAACGCTAGTCAAAGGATCGCAGAAAAAACGGATGATGCGTTTTGCATTGAATATTAAATTGCGTATAAATATTAATCGCATGTGTCAACGTTGACAGCAATAATAAGGCCTATGCTGGTCTTATGTTAAACTTCGGTGCATAACCACCCAGAACTCGCTAACAACTCAGAACACCTTAGCTACTCCATAGAAACCCCAAACAGCCTAGCTTTACACAGTGCAGCAAAACATCAACAAAAAAAACCCTGTTCTTATTGTTTGCTGGCATGACAGGCATCTTTTGGGTGTAGGCTGATATGAATGATATGTTTCACACAAATACACATTTTAGAACTGAACAAAGACCAGGAATTATATAGAAGCAGCATTTTATACTTGACTACTTAACACAACCATCAATGCAAAGAAAGGTGTTTATTGTCTGACTGCACTATTTGGCCGTGACTGTATTTTCTAAACAGTTCCTCTTATGTGCCGTATCGGGTCACTCATTGAGATGAATGAGAAGGGCAGCAGTGTGTGTGTTTGCGCGTGTGTGTGTGTGTGTGTACTACCTACATGCTCGCTGTGGCCTTGACAGCGTGGGGGATGAGCAGGCTCTTCTGGCACTGGATGTTAACAGCTGCTGGAGTCCACATCTCTCATGGGTAGAGACCACTGTCCACAGAGGGCCACGGGGGGGGTTGCTTTTTGCTCAAAATTTAGATTTAAAATATTATTCATTTCCAAAGGTTGATAGGCGTAGACCTCTAAGCTCCTTTTGTAGGACATAAGTAAATGTGGCCATGCAACTGCAATTATTGACACTTTCAATGTAATGTAGCCTAACAATATTTCATTGATAGTGTCAATAATTGCAGTTGCATGGTCACATTTACCATTGCTTGGCAACATTTCACAACATTTGCCATTTCAATAGGAATCGGTGCAATCAGTGAGGGCAAAAAAGTTCACTATACGCAGATTTCATGCTTCTGTATGAAATGGAAGTTCCAATAGTATTTTTCTAACCTATTGTTATATATATTCGAGTGAACAGTTCGAACAGAACAAGAGAAAATGTGGGCGGGGCTTGATTTTTGTCTGTGAGGAATTGATTGGATGGTTGTGGTTTGCTATTGGCTGATCTCATGTGATTGACAGGTTATTGCCCCGCCCTCATCATCAGAGAAGAGAAGAGATGCTGCAAGAGGAAGTTATTCTGATTCAACATTAGTAGGCATGTGAGTTTAAAATAAATAAATAAATAATGATGTGCACAGAGAAATAATTTATAATAAACACTGCACTATTCCATAAAAAGGACCAATTATACCCCTTTTTACAAGATGTAATATAAGTTTCAAGTGTCCCGTGAACGTGTCTGTGAAGTTTCAGCTCAAAATATCCCCCACAGATAATTTTTTTAATACCATTGTAAATGCCCATTTTGAGTGGAAGGAAAATGACTGTTTTCGTGCATGTATCTTTAAATGCAAATGAGCTGCTGCTCCCCGCCCAGCTTTCCAGAAGAGGGCGGAGCCTATACAGCTCGTGCCTCAGATACTCTGCCTAAATCTACAACATCTGTTCGGTTTTTATTATCATCTCTATCTCGGTCGCTCTCACGTGACATGCAGTTCATCACCATGAAAGTTTATAATCTGCATGTGTTGTAAAGCAATATCAGTCTAAACTTCTGATATATGGTTTTCTAAACACACACATCTGAAGCATGCGCACAGAGAGCTGGATGTCAGGCTTTGCATCTGTGAGTATTTCTCTTTCACGTCTTATTGTGTTTAAACTGTCAAATACACACAAGGTTATGTCAAAGACACACAAAATTCACAAACACAGGCTTATGTTTGTGAACATAAATAACGGGAAAATAACGCATGTGTAAATTATATGTGTATTAAAGTGAAAGGAGTGTAATATAGGCTACACAGAGTACTGCTACAGATGCTGTTAATATGAATCAGACAAAAATAAACTGAATCACTCACGGCTCTTGATTGAATAACTTAATTAGCATTAATAAGAATACATTTCTTACCTAAAGTGCTATTAAATGCTCTGGCGAGGAGACTTGGGCAGGGTTTATGCTAATCGTTAGCAGTTGTGGGCGGGGCCTGTGTAATGTGACGTCACCTTGCGTAGAAACGTTTATTCTGAGACACTGTTTATGATTTATGTGGATTAAAAGAAAGGTTTGGGTCGATTTTTACAATTATCGGGTAGATGTGTACACACATGCACATTTATGTTCAAACATAAAGTGAATTTTGCAGCAGCACTACTTCCCTCGCCCTGAAACATAAGGTGTTTTCGAGTGTGTATGAATATGATATTGCTCTTCAAGCAGCGTCCCGGTACGTATGACGGGGATTGTTTCTATATTGAGCCATACTCAGTGTGCCTTGAAATGAACATCCTGTCAAGATATAATGCACTACTAGCCTACTTCGGTAAATATATTTATACCGTATGTGTCCAAGGCTGCCTATGGAATCGGCCTTGCGACTGTCAAAACCTGAACTCGGCATTGTTGTTTATGGACAAAGTAAATCTTCCGAACAGGCACCAACGGGAAAAGAGCTTTTTGTAGTTTTAGAAACCCTTCAAGGGCAAGACATTACTTCAGAATATCTCGACCCCTTTCCAGAACATCTCAAAGGACAATGGGTGACGTATGTTGCGTTTAAAAATGTGTTGTAACAGTAGGGAAGTTTGAAACAAATGCACACACTCTTCTTAATAATAATAATAATAATATTTGTGCATGTTGCAGTTTGACCAGAAATTTAATTCATTGTCTATTGTTTACTTGGCCTAAACATTGAGGACATCCATTCGTGCCATCCTTCTGATAAACCCATGATAAATATACAGAAATGTTATTAATACACGATATTAAACTTTTTGGGTTGGTCGAGAGATGGACCTCTTGGAAAAAAAAAACTGTGCTAATAAAAAAAAAGGAAAGGGTGAAGTCAGTTCTAAAAAGCTAACATTTGTTTGCGCATGCTATTGATGTGATTTTTTTTATATTGCATTTATTACGATATCAGAATCAGTCGAGAAGTGTTCGTTTTATAGATGGAAGTTATTTGACATGGCCTGTGCCTTCATCAGCATGTCTCCCTGCCTCCTCATCCTCTCACTATCAGACTCTGGTGTTTTAGTAGAGGACAAGAATGCTCGGCAAGCAGAAAATAGTCTCTCCGGAGTCAAAGCATCGCGTGATGTCTTCACTTTGAGCTCGATATCAGCGACGGAGCAGAGCCGGCATAACACCGCTAACCTTGACTGATACACACTATCACTGACTCTCACTGACTCCAGCGACACTGCGTGCGTTAACACACACATAACACACGCTCAGGGAAAAAAGGTACACCTTTGTACCTCAAGAGTGCATACGTCTCTCAGAGGTACAACGTGTACATTTTAGTACCTAAATGGGACAGAATATTTTTGAAGGGCACCGTTCCAGTGACAGCTTTATTTCTGGGGCTGTGTGAGATCGGGTGTATCCTTGTGTGTAAACTATTTAAAGTGACTTATACACTTTATTCTGTAACGAATAAACACGATCAAATGATTTGTCTACTTCTGTGCATATATTATAATATACGTATACCTATTGCAAATGAAACATTAGATCCTCTCGTATTCTCTTGAGAGCAATTCATTCAATTACAAACCTAAGTGCACGTGACAAGTTCATAGAAATGTAATCTTTGTGTTCATGTTGGTTTCATTCATTTTGGAAACACATACAAATATCGGATTCATTTGATGCTTCAAAATGTCAGTCAATTGGTGTAACCAGCAAAAAATATTTTTCTTTCATTTTCATACAATAAATATTTTCAAAGAAGTTTGATATTTGATATTTATGAAGTTTCTTTTTAATGTTTATTCCATTTCACCTGAACAAAACGTGCCTTTTCACAATATGCCTCAATAAATGTAAAGACAAAAAATAGAATATACAATTTTCACCATAAAAACTTATTTAACTCTGTCTGAATTATGTATTTTTGTTAATATACACGGTCGGTGGGAAAATGAGCGTCATGTAATTAATTAGCGTAATTTTTTTAACGCATTTTTTAATAACTGCATAAAATTGACCGTTACATTTATTCTTGTCTATCTCTGAGAGAGCAGGATAACTTTGTTTTAAGTCTTTGTGTATCTTAAATAGGACAACCTTGGTTGTCAAGTCACACAAAATATTTTGGTTTGGCCAACATAATTATATCAGAAAATAATTAGCCTAGCCTATATAATTCGATAATAATAAACTACAACATTTTCAAAACAATTAAAACCAGACAAAATACTACAAGAAAAATAAGAAAACATTTTAAAAAATATGTTTTTTTGCATTATATTAGGATCGTTGTTATTGTATCAATCGATCAATGGTGTAGTAGATGGCCAAATCTTTTTTTTTCTTTTTTTTTTTTTGCTGGACTGAAACTGAATAAATAAAACGCCTGGAGCGCGCATCATCTGTCACATGAGCGCGCTATCCAATGAAGCCCTCTCCAGTCGTGTGAAGACGCGCAGACCCGAGAAGACCTGAGACCTGTTAGATTCACTCCTGGAGTTTCTGAACGACTGATCGGACCGTGTTTCGTCGCCTGAAGACGCTCACACACATTAATGGTGAGTCTCTACAGTATATGGTTGAAAAACAGTAATCCTGAAGAGAGTCTGTTCGAAAACGCGCTTCATTTCGACTCGTTTCTCTTCGTCACGCATTTTAAGTTTCAGTTCTCACGATGTGAAGCACAATTACTATGTGATAGAAACATCGAAATACAGGTGGATTGATATTTATAATCGAAACACGAATTGAAATGAAAATTGAAAATTGTTTCAAACAGCGCAGCATTTACCTGTGAAGTGAATGCATCATTAAAATATTGCAGCATTTTAAAATACCTTAATTAAAATGATATTCTGCTGGCGTATCACACAAATAGCCTGAATTAATTTGATTCAATACATTTTCATTTAAAGACATGTAGTTACTCATTCACTGAAAAGGTTATTAAATGGAAACGTGAATAATTTCTTATAAGAATTTGTTTCCATTAAGCTTTTTTTTTTTTAAATCAAGCTTAGCTTTTTCCATCATTTTAATATTTCCTTATTTAAATATAGCTAATGCAGTGCTTTAATTTCAAAGGACATTTTCTGTATCATATTCAGAAAACATTCAGAAAACTATAATTCGATTAAAAAAGTTTTTAAAAGAGAGGAGAAGAAATTAGCCGAACGATAAATTCCACCATGTAAATTCAACAATTCGGCTTTCTAGTCTGTAGGCCTATTTAAGAAAGGAAATATTTATCAATAAATTAAATTAATAAAAACCTTAGGCTAATCCTACAATCAAATATTTATAATTATTATTAGAATATTAGAATTATAAAGCGCGCGCGCTTGATTGTGTGTGTGTGTGTGTGTGTGTGTGATCAGGAGACATGACAGGAGTCAATATGATAAAAAGCCATCTTTCCTCTGCGTGCCAGAAGTAAAACAGATGCTTCGTGAGCTCTAGATCTCTAGCATTATACAATTTTTTCATAACATCCTTTTGATTGCTCTGCCACTCTTACACTATCGTCGCTGTGTTTGATCACTGATCGGGGACGCGCTATTACCGAGGTATTACTTTTACAGTGCGATGAAGTTGTGTTGTGGAACTGATGTTTAGATTGATTTGACACTGTTGTCAGAATGCACGTGCACGAGTATAAGCAGTCTTTAAAAGAGAAGAACATATTTCATTTCTCAAAACATTATCAATAATGATTTTAAGAATGTTTATTCCCTCTCTCAAACAATAATCAGGTGATCGAGTTGATAGTCGATGTGTGATGATGGAGTTCCCTGCAGATGAAGAGCTGGAGGAACAGTGTCCTGTGTGTGGAGATAAAGTGTCCGGGTATCATTACGGTCTTCTGACCTGTGAAAGCTGTAAGGTACGATTATATTCATATCTCATCATATTTCTCTTTACGCGTTTCTATAGAGCGCGTAAATATCTCGGAAACGCGTTATAATTATAAACCACAGTTTATGTGCACTGGAACAAAAAAAAAAAATAGGCTAATTATTTTATTGTAGCTATAATGTTAAATATATATAATGTAGCTAAAAGCATTACTACGTAACAGTCTTTGTTCATTAGCCTATATTAATGACATTTATTTATTATTCATAATATTTTTGGTTGTATCATACATACTGGATTTCAAAAACTAAAATAAAGCTTCCACACGAACCAATTCATTCCCCAAAGAACCTTTCAATGAGCAGTTCTTAAAATAACCATATTTTTACTCAATGTGAAGAACATTTTAATCATCTAAAGAATCTTTCTCCACTATAAAGAACCTTTTATGTCTTTATGGAAAGAGTCCATGGATGTTAAAGGTGCTTTTAAGGGTGTAGAGGGTAACACTTTATTTTAGTGTCCCTGTTACATGTAATTACTATAGTAAAAACTATAATTTATGCATAATTGCATGCAACTAAACCTAACCCTATAAGTACCTGTAGGTAATTAATATTACTCAGTGCGGTAAAAATTTATTTTACAGTGTCCTTGTTACATGTAATTACTATAGTAATAACTATAAATGATGCATAATTACATGCAACTAACCCTAAACCAAACCCTATAGTAAGTACATGTAGTTCATTATTATTACTCAGTGCGGTAACATTTTATTTTACAGTGTCCTTGTTAAATATGTTACATGTACTTACCATAGTAATAACAGTAAATTATTCATAATTACATCTACCCTAACCCTCAACCTAATCCTAACCCTATAGTAAGTACATGTAGTTAATTAATATTACTCAGTACTTAAATATATAATCACACTGTAACAATGACACCTTAAAATAAGATCTAGATGAAAGTTCCTGTAAGAAAGCCAAAACTAATTTCTTAGAGTCTGTTTATTAGAACAGATTACAATGCAACCGTTTCTTTAACAGCTGACAGAATATAATCCTCCGATCATTATCATAACAGGGTTTTTTCAAGAGGACGGTTCAGAATAACAAGAGATACACGTGCACACAGAACCAGGACTGTGGCATCGACAAAACCCAGCGCAAGAGATGTCCGTTCTGCCGCTTCCAGAAGTGCCTGAGCGTCGGCATGAGACTCGAGGGTGAGAACACACACACACACACACACACACACACACACACACACTAGAGGAGCCTCGTGTCAATGTCCTGATTATATTACTGTCTGTTGAGTGTTGGAACGAGGCCGAATATAATGCTTATTATATGATATTTTAGCATGTGTTATATGTGTATTAAGGTCTTGAGCATCACTCCTCACTCAGTAAAATAACCAGTTACACTTTAATTAACAACATGTTCTTTCTATATAATTGGGGTTAGTTGCATGTAACTATTCATAATTGACTGTTATCACTATAGTAACTAAATGTAAAATGTGTAACAGACTAAATAATGTGTTACCCCTTTAAAATGGTCTTTGTTACACTGTAACTATACATTTAAGTACTGAGTAATATTAAGGAACTACATGTACTCACTATAGGGTTGGGGTTTGGTTTAGTATTAGTTGCATGTACAGGTGAAACTCGAAAAATTAGAATATCGTGCAAAAGTTCATTTATTCCAGTAATTCAACTTAAAAGGTGAAATTAATATATTACATAGACTCATTACATGCAAAGTGAGATATTTCAAGCCTTTATGTGTGATAATTGTGATGATTATGGCTTACAGCTTATGCAAATTAGAATATTGTGAAAAGGTTTTCATAGCTGTAAGCCATAATCATCACAATTATAACAAATAAAGGCTAGAAATATCTCACTTTGCATGTAATGAGTCTATATAATATATTAGTTTCACCTTTTACGTTGAATTACTGCAATAAATGAACTTTTGCACGATATTCTAATTTTTCGAGTTTCACTTGTAATTATGCATGATTTACAGTTATTATATATGTAGCATGACACTGTAAACTAAAGTGTTACCTAAAATTCAGTTTACGGAAGAAAAAAAAACAGGAAAACATTTAATGCAATATTTCATTATCATGAATTAATATTATGTTTATTCTATTCAATGACATTTATTCATAGATGTATTAAAACTATAACACACCTAAATTGGCCTCAATCAACTTAAAAGTAATAAATAACATGTTTCTTGACACAGCATGTAGATTTATATCAGTAAACAAACTGTTAAAATGCTGTTTTATTGTCAGCCCAGTTATATTGTCTTCCAAATCCATTTCAGTTCATTATTCGGTGGAAAACAGTGTGTTATTTTGGTGCGGTGCGCGCGATTCCCAGGCCGAGTGCAGAGAAGCACCTGTTTCCGCGCGCGCCTGTGACACATTCCTCACGCGCTGATAAGACTCGCGGATTCATGGAGACTCACAAAAACCAGAGCGGAAAATATCCATATGAAGAGAAATATCCACTTGCCTTCGCCCTGACTTACTCACGCAAAACCGGGACAAGCATTCCTTGCTTTATTTGGCTTTTTAATCACTCTTCTCCTAAACTATCCCACTTTCCTCCGATGAAGAGCACATCTGCGAAATGTAAATAATATATAATGTGTCTTTAATACCATGAACTGACATTTAAATGAATCATGTGAGTGCCTAGAAAAATTTACATCTTCACCCTTTATTCAAATATTATTCCAAATTTGGGTAACACTTTATTTGAATAACATATTTGTTAATAATGACCTTACAAGTTCGATTAAACCATCAAAATATGAGGAAAATATTTTGTTACACTTTATTTTAAGGTGTCTGTGTTACAGTGCAATTACACACTCTAAACAATGCTGGGTTGTTTTAACCCAAATTTGGGTCAAATATGGACCAACCCAAATGTTGGGTTAAAAATGTCATTTAAAATTTTAACCCAACTTCAACTTTCACTTTCAACTGTAAATATTTTAATTACATTTTTAACCCAACATTTGGGTTTGTCCATATTTGACCCAAATTTGGGTTGAAACAACCCAGCATTTTTTAGAGTGTACATTTAAGTACTGAGTAATAATAAGTAACTACATGTATAGGGTTAGGGTTTGGTGTATGTAATTATGCATCATAGTAATAACTTGCATGTAACAAGGACACTGTAGAATATAGTGTTACCAAAAGACTTTGTGAGCATATTGCATTGTCAATATGTGTGATAATAACGCAAAGAAACATGCCAAATTAGTGCCGACATAATGTTTGTCCATGCTGTCATACAAAGAAATTATGAACAAAAGAGAACCAACAAATATGAATAACTGATTATGTTGTAGTTAGTGTATGCTTTTTCCTCTCAGCTTTTTGTTTTTCTATGTATTTTTTGTTTTGCAAGTCAAAGTTACTACAGTAATTACTTGTAACGTGTAACAAGGATATTGTAAAATAAAGTGGTAACATTTTATTTGACAGTGTCCTTGTGTTACATGTGCTTACTATAGTAATAATACATGCAACTAACCCTCAACCAAACCCTAACCCACACTCTAAAAAATGCAGGGTTGTTTCAACCCAAATTTGGGTCAAATATTGGGTTAAAACCCAAATGTTGGGTTAAAAATGTAATTAAAAAATTTACAGTTGAAAGTGAAAGTGGAAGTTGGGTTAAAATTTTAAATTACATTTTTAACCCAACATTTGGGTTAAAACAACCCAGCATTGTTTAGAGTGTATAGTGAGTACATGTAGTTGCTTAATATTACTCAGTACTTAATTATAAAATCGCACTGTAACAATGACACCTTAAAATAAAGTGTAAACAATAAAGTTATAAAGAGTCAATAAAGAGTTTTGCAACACAATAAGCACATACATAGTAGTTAAAGACATCTAATATAAAGAGTGTTATAAGTTTGACTGCATACTCTCTCTCTCTCTCTCTCTTCCCAGCTGTCCGTGCGGATCGAATGCGAGGGGGAAGGAACAAGTTCGGGCCCATGTACAAGCGCGACCGTGCCCTGAAACAGCAGAAGAGAGCTTTAATCAGAGCCAGCGGCTTTAAAATCGAGGGCAACCCGACCCTCATGTCCACCGGTCAGACGGAGTACCCTCATCCCGGGTCGCTCTCGGTCCTCCACCTGCCGCCTCTCTCGTCTCCGGAGTACGAGTGTCCTCCTCTCTGTCCTCCAGCCCTGAGTGTGGCGCTGCAGAGCTACGGCTCATTCCCGGCTCAGTACCAGTACAGCGCTCCCAGATCCATTAAAGCGGAGTACCCGGATGTGTACTCTAGCTCTCCAGACTCCTCTCTGGGATACCCGTACCCTGACGGCTGCATGCCCGCGTCCCCTCACTCCAGTCCCATGAACCCCGGGCTCCCCCCGCTGGTGCTGGAGCTGGTCAGCTACGACCCGGATGAGGAGCAGGTACGAATCATCAGCTGGAGTTATAAATGAGCCAATGCACACCTTTACTTTATATTAGTGGTCTTTAACGATCAGTAACAAAAAGTCTTTGTTATAGGTACTATTCCAGAAAGCGTTTAAAAGACGTCGTCCAAACACAGTCCTAAATATTTTGTTATAAATGAGCCAATGCACACCTATACTTTATATTTCATTTCATTCATTTTTTTATTTCGAACAACAAAAGATTCAAATAAAGTAAAATGCAAAAATACAATAAGTAGGTTGCAACATAACGAAAGAAAAAAAACAGAATTTCAATATGTTCAAAAAGGAGCGGGATGATTTTTCTCACCCCTTACAGGTGAAACTCGAAAAATGAGAATATCGTGCAAAAGTTCATTTATTTCAGTAATTCAACTTAAAAGGTGAAACTAATATATTATATAGACTCATTACATGCAAAGTGAGATATTTCAAGCCTTTTTTTGTTATAATTTTGATGATTATGGCTTACAGATATGAAAACCTTTTCACAATATTCTAATTTTGAATTTGGGGTTTTCATAAGCTGTAAGCCATAATCATCAAAATTATAACAAAAAAAGGCTTGAAATATCACACTTTGCATGTAATGAGTCTATATAATATATTAGTGTCACCTTTTAAGTTGAATTACTGAAATAAAATAAAAAACTTTTGCACAATATTCAAATTTTTAGAGTTTCACCTGTATGTACATGCACGTGTGTGTCTTTACATATACAAAATAATTATACACAGTACACACACATATATTATGTAAAGACAAACTTTTATTTTGGTTGCGATTAATCGTTGTTCAGCACAAAAAAAAAAAAAAATTCCTTAGATGACAGCCTTCAGTAATATAGTAAATTATGCATATTAACAAGTTCATGTAACATATGTAACAAGTAAAATAAAGTGTTACCTTTTATTTCAGTCAAAAGGTTTGTTTTAAGCAACGCAAGTTTTTTAAATTGGTTTTAGTTAACTATAATAACCCTGGTCCGGAAGCAAATAGTTTCACCTTTTAAGTTGAATTACTGAAATAAATGAACTTTTGCATGATATTCTCATTTCTCGAGTTTCACCTGTACATGGCCTTTCCCAGACAGCAACACAGAGTCGGCCCACATCTGGTAAGCGTGGAATCCACATGTACCAGATGTGCGTTTATAAATAGACTATTACGAGTGTAATATGCGATAACATTGTTGAATATAACAGAGATAAAGTAATTGCAGTCTTTTTTCTCGTATGGGATTTCATGTAGTTACTTAATATTACTCAGTACTTAAATATACAGTTACAGTGTAACAAAGACAACTTATAATAAAGTGTAACCATTTTTAAAGGGGTAACACTTTATTTAACAGTGCATCTAGTTACTATAGTAAACAGTAAATATATAACAGTAAATGATGCATACCGGTATTTACATGCAACTAACCCTAACTATATAGTAAGTACATGTTGTTAATTAATATTACTCAGTACTTAATTGTATAGTTACACTGTAACAAGGGCACTAAAATGATTTTTTTATTTTTTTAATAAAATAGTACAGTGTAAAACATGTATGTACACAATAAGTGCACAGTATCAAATGATTAATGTAAATGTCAATACATAGACACAGTAGTTAAAGACACTTAATATAACACGGCCCATTTAACACATGACTGAAGGACATTTTTGACTTGAACAAAACCAGTTCATTTAGATTTTAAGTTTCCCTAAGTAAGAAAATCAATAATAATTAATAATAATTCAAATATTGTGTGGCAGGCCTATGGTATTTACCAGGTAAATAAAGGCTTTACAAACCTGTATGACTTTCTTTCTTCTGTGAAATGCAAAAGAAGATATTTTTGTCTCAAATGTTTTTCTCCATATCATGATATCAATATGCGGTCAGCATAAACATTGTTGGACCCCATTGACTTTCATTATATGGAGAAAACGCCACTTACTGGACACAGCATGAGATCGAGTGAATTATACTTTTTATTTTGTGTGTCTTTAAAGAGAGGGGAATTCTGGGATTTCAAAAGATCCATAATTATGCTGTTGCTAATTCAAACCTGGTCAAAACAGACCCAAGACAATAAATGTAACATTTTTAAGAAATGAAATGAATGTGCTATATTTTAGTTCAATGATATAATATTTGTTTTCGCTTTGCAATAAGGTTCCATTTGTTAACATTATTTAACTGCATTAGTTACATGAACTTATAATATTAAATAAATAAAACATGTATTACTCTTATTTAGTTTTAATTACAACATTTAGCCTATTAAAAAACACTATTAAAATCAAAAGTTGTATTTGTTAACATTATTTAATGGACTTGAGCTAACAATAAGCAGTTGTGTTTTTATATTAACTAATGTTAACAAAGGTTAATAAATTGTATTGATTATAGTTAGTTAATGCATTATCTGACGTTAATGGGACCATAATGTAAAATTATTTTCATAATTTGTTATCACAACATTTTTTTCTTTTGTCAAATCAACTAAGATAATTAATGTGGTTCAGATAACATCATATTTTGAGTTTCTGTCGATTAAACCAATCTTCCTCATTGTATTAACTCAAATTTTTGATTTTAAAGAACTCAAAATTTGAATGCAACCAGGTTACTTACTTTTTTATGTTGAACCAACAATATTTTTGTACAGTCACTTTAGTGTAGGGTCCAATTCTCTCTATTAACTACCGTGCATATCACTAGTATATTGGCTGTTTATTAGTACTTATAAAGCACATATTAATGCCTTATTCTGCATGACCATATTCTACATCCCTTAATCCTAAACTTAACGATGACCGTACTAACTATTAATAAATAGTAATTAGGAGTTTAAGGCAAAAGTCATAGTTCATGGTTAGAATTGGACCCTTAACTAAAGTATGACCATAAAGGGTTACTATTTTTTCTTTAATATTTAGCATTTTCCATTTATTTCACGAAATAAAAAATATTTATTTCCATATAAAATACTACATTTTATTAATAACACGTCTTATACTGTTTTTCAATGAATGCGGTGTAGTACTGTAAAAAGTGTTCATCCACTTACTTAAAAAAATTGAGTAAAACCGTTGCCTTAAAATTAATAATGCTTATTTGAAAAAATTAAGTTATGTGAACTTGACAATTCCACATTGCTTAATTTTTTTGATTAAGCATGAAGTTTATTTACTTGATCATTTGAAGGCACTTTTTTTTTTGAAGTAAGTGAACAACACTTTTGCCAGTAATATCACACACTCTCCCTCTGCATGCACTCCTCAGTTGTGTGATAGTTTGCCTGTGTTTTGCAGGTGCGAGGGAAGATCTGTGCGTATCTCCACCAGGAGCAAAGCGGCCGAGGGAAACTGGACAAACCTCGAGCCTTCAGCCTGCTGTGTGTCATGGCGGATCAGACACTCTTCTCCATTGTGGAGTGGGCAAGAAGCTGTGTCTTCTTCAAGGAACTAAAGGTACAGCTCCGAGATAAGGCCATAATCCCAATAAGTGTTTTGTCTAATAAAAGTCAAAGTATTTTGGAGAAAGCCTGCTATTTTGTCGCCGAATCATGTATCTTCATGAAAGATAACACTGGGGCATTCAGATATTCTTGTCAAGCAGCTTTAAAACTAAGATTACATTTGAATGTTGCGATTTTAGTGGCAGCATCGCTGATATCTGCGTCGAAGCGTCAAAGTCAGGAATTCTTGCTCGCTCTCCAAAGGTTTTGACTGGCTGTTAATGGAAGCTAAATAGCTAAATATATCAGATCTGGTCACTCAGTTGCTATTCACATCAGGGAGTGTTGCAAATCATCCATTCCCAAACAGATACAGTGTTGGGTTTGCTCCGCTCTGACCTCTTATGAACGCTTTTATCAACATACAGTCCAACCAAAACTTATTCAGACACCAGATATCATTTTTGGTATTGTTTTACTAGTGTGTGCAGGACACTATAGTTCAAAATAAAGTAAACTGTGACATATTATACCCAAAAATTCTTCATATAGTGACAACCGGTAAAAATTTGGGACCAGAAATGATTCCTCCACTTTGAGCTGAAGTGTGTTTTCTGTAACTGCTAATGCTCTTTTTACACACAGACTGAACAACATGAAGCATTGCTTGGTCACTGGTTGAGCTAAACTGGTATTATCTAATTGTGTAGTTGAATTTAACAGCTGACAGATATTCAACATAATTCATGTGTGAGAGTCTAACAGAAGGACGGACAAAACCAGTCAAATATCCACTGATCTGAGAACTCTGATTTTCTAAACTATCATGAAGAAACTGTGATCATGTGAGAAATGTTGAAGGAGTCTGAATACATTTTGGTTTGACTGTACATTACACTCGTCGATAAGTGCCTGCATGCTGGAATGAACTCAAGCAAATCGTGTAGAATTAGAATTTGGAACTTTGTCTTCGCACATTCACACCTGCGAGACCGTCGCATTCCATCCTGTCGCCATGGCAACTAGCGTCAGGATTCCGAATGATGCGTAAAATGTTACAGTTTTTGAAAACGCATGCCAGCGACTGACTGGACGCTTAATTACATTCCGCGCAGAAGATAACTCAGGAATCCCATGCAGCGCTCCCTCTCCGCCGCATTGTTCCCGACCGTGCATTCGGACTCAAAAGGGTTTTATTAAACTCAGGTTTGTGTACGTCCTATTAGGTTTGTGCACGACAATCTGAAGTGTGCCACTTGTGTGAGTGAGGTCAAGTGGGCAGGATTAGACGTGTATGGTTCTGTGCTGAGGTTGATGTATGTGGCGCTACACTTCTATTAGAGCTTTACTGAACACTGGCCTTCAAAACCAGTGCTGAATATGAGCACGACACACAGGGTTAGTGGGGGAGGAAGACGTGGGACTGATGAAGGACGAGAGGTGAGAAGGTGCGAGAGGTCGTCGTCTGACACTCGTAAACACAGCGCTCGTTTTATGATCTGTATGCAAGGGTTGTGGATGTTCGAGCTTTGAGTTAAACCAACTGGACGTCACATTTATTATTGTTTTGAGGAGAATTGTCGTAAAGCCTTTGAAATATTTAGATTTATTTTTTTCGATCATATATGAAATATCTATTCCTATTCTTGCACACTTTTTGGGCCTGTTTGCAGTTTCTGGAGCGTTTCTGGACCCGGGCTTTCTCATACACTCGTTTACGCAGCTTTGAGATCAATCACTCGTCTGTTTATGTCGTTCCAAACCACGACTTTCTTTCTACTGTGGAGCGTAAAGGAATGTATATTTTGAAAAATGTCTTTTTGGGGTTTTTTGCCCATACCAGAAAAGTGAAAAATATCTTCTTTTGTTTTCAACGATACAATTAAAGTCAATGGGGTCCAAAGCAACATCAACTTGTTTTAGTATTATTTATATGCTAGTGAAGTATTTAATTTTATATTTTCACTTTTGTAATTTTGTAGCTTTAAATGATTTTTTAGTATATTAGTTCTTAAACTGATTTTTTTTTTTCATTTCTAAATTTTATAAATTTTTTTGCTTAATATTTTAGCTTTATTTCAATTAGTGAAAACTATTTTTCATTGTTTTAGTTTTAGTTAATGTTGACACTGAATCTCATTGTATAGACTAAAAGACAATGGCTGCGTATGAAATCTCTTGAGTAGGTACTTATTTTGAGTAAAAAGTAATTACTTCACTACAAAAGCACGTTCTATATATGTAGTATGAATGTAATCTGGGTGCACTACATCCACCATGTTGTCATTATCATGTGACCTACCACTGCCGTTCACAAATCCTCTCCTGTGGCCTCATGGGATAGTAAAGTGTCCATCATATACACACTTCAGAATCTCACCAGAAGTAGTAGACTAATCTTTTACGAGTACTGTGAACTCAGACCTACTTCTTATGTCAAATGCTGTTTTTCACCTACAACATAGTAGGGAAGTGTGTGATTTCGGACGCAGCCCACAACGTTTATTTTCCACAGAAGAAATTAAGTCAAATAGGTTTGGAACGACAGTAAATGAACGAACTGCCCCTTTAAGTTCAGCGTTCTGCATCTTGATTGGTGTTGTTGTTAGTTTGGTGACAGGATCTTGACACTTGTGTGTTTGTGTGAGTGTGTCGGGCTCCTGACATCCATGCTCTGTGTGCTTCTGTCCGCCTTGGGTTTTATTTTCTGATTGGGCACATGCTTGTCTGCCATGTGCTCTTCTGTCCTGTGGGTTTGTGTGAGGACATGGCTTCTGTCGTGTTTGTTTCTGTGTGCCATGTGCTCTTCTCTCAGTCTCTAGTCTTTCTGTCAGTCTCTAGTCTTTCTGCCAGTCTTTCTGTCAGTCTCTAGTCTTTTTCTCAGTCTCTAGTCTTTCTGCCAGTCTTCAGTCTTTCTGTCAGTCTCTAGTCTTTTTCTCAGTCTCTAGTCTTTCTGTAAGTCTCTAGTCTTTCTCTCAGTCTCTAGTCTTTCTCTCAGTCTCTAGTCCTTCTCTCAGTCTCTAGTCTTTCTGTAAGTCTCTAGTCTTTCTGTCAGGCTCTAGTCTTTCTGTCAGTCTCTAATCTTTCTGTAAGTCTCTAGTCTTTCTCTCAGTCTCTAGTCTTTCTCTCAGTCTCTAGTCCTTCTCTCAGTCTCTAGTCTTTCTGTAAGTCTCTCTGTCAGTCTCTAGTCTTTCTCTCAGTCTCTAGTCTTTCTGTCAGTCTCTAGTCTTTCTCTCAGTCTCTAGTCTTTCTGTCAGTCTCTAGTCTTTCTCTCAGTCTCTAGTCTTTCTGTCAGTCTCTAGTCTTTCTCTCAGTCTCTAGTCTTTCTGTCAGTCTCTCTGTAAGTCTCTAGTCTTTCTCTCAGTCTCTAGTCTTTCTGTCAGTCTCTAGTCTTTCTCTCAGTCTCTAGTCTTTCTGTCAGTCTTTCTGTCAGTCTCTAGTCTTTCTGTCAGTCTCTAGTCTTTCTGTCAGTCTCTAGTCTTTCTCTCAGTCTCTAGTCTTTCTGTCAGTCTTTCTGTCAGTCTCTAGTCTTTCTGTCAGTCTCTAGTCTTTCTGTCAGTCTCTAGTCTTTCTCTCAGTCTCTAGTCTTTCTGTCAGTCTCTAGTCTTTCTCTCAGTCTCTAGTCTTTCTGTCAGTCTCTCTGTCAGTCTCTAGTCTTTCTGTCAGTCTCTAGTCTTTCTGTCAGTCTCTAGTCTTTATCTCAGTCTCTAGTCTTTCTGTCAGTCTCTAGTCTTTTAGTCTTTCTGTCAGTCTCTAGTTTTTCTGTCAGTCTCTAGTCTTTCTGTCAGTCTCTAGTCTTGGCCCCGCCCTCTTGTTACCTGATTCATTAATAAAAACTTAGCTTTTAATGTTGTTTTATTTGTCAATGTGGTGTTTTTAATATGCTTTAAGACAAACCATGTGTAAATTCATAAGTCGACAGCATTGCTGAGTATTTTCAGTTAACAGTGAACCAAAGACAGTCTCAAAAACACGGTTTGAAATCGCTGACGTCACAAACTACCTTGTATGTAACCAATCAGGTCAACGAGTGGATCTCTGAGCCGCTGTGAGTGAGTGGAGGCGGGGCTCATTTGCATATTCATAGAACCGCGTATACTAAATGAGGCAAGGGTGTTGAGTTACATTCAAGCAATTTTAAGCCACGAAGAATTATTTAATATAAACGTTTAAATATGTCATTTTGGTGATCGAAGATGAGTTTTAAGGGATAAAATTATTGGGGAGAGTCACTTTAAGTCACAAAATTATGCTTTAAATCAGTATCATAGAGACCTAATACCGTGAGCGCATAACAGCTCTTCATTTCCCATGATCTAGGTTGGAGATCAGATGCGACTGCTGCATAACTGCTGGAGCGAGCTGTTGCTTCTCGATCATATCTGCCGACAGGTGCATCATGGGAGAGACAACAGTCTGCTGCTCATTACAGGACAGGAGGTGAGATTATCCAAACATGGAAGCGAATCCGAGCGCTAATGATACGTTGGATTCAAGAGTAGAAGTGTGAATAAACTCTAGCCATTTCATTCTTAACCAACGTACAGTTGGAAAACTTCATGTAACTTGAGCGTTTGAGCGACTGAATACACACTTCTCTATCCCATAATGCTCCGTGAGTGTCAACGCTCGCTTCGGCCAGGTGGTGTTTATAGCAGAGGGGGCGGAGCTTCAGATTCTAGAGAGCATGTGCTTGGACAGAAGATGTGATGAGAAGCTGAAGTCATAAAAATCCCTGATCCATTTTAGCAGAAGTTAGAGACTGTAAGCTTTAAACGCTTATATCTCCTAAATGCGAATTTTGTCATTGGTTTGATGCACACCGGCTTATTCATAACCTTAAAGGAGAACTCCGGCGCAAAATGAACCTTTGGTCTAATAACACATTGGTACCTAGTCAACCGTTGTCTGAGATTTTTTTTCATGATAATCGAATGTAAAGAGTTTTATCTCTAAAAACTGTTTAGCGTATAACACTAGTAATGGGGGCATTTAATAAGTAAAAAGAAATCGCTAGTTAATAACACTAACAAGACTGTACCCTTGTTAGTGTTAGCCCCACCCGAACACAGTAACATAATGAGGGTCCCTACATGCAAAACGAAGCATTGAGAACTTTGTAAGTGTACAGACCGTTTAATAAGAAGATATTTTATGAAGACAGTCCACTTCGTGTATACAGACAGAAGCCATCTTTGGAAAACAGTCTCGACTAGTCAAACCACGAACGCCATTCATACAGTTCAGCTCACTTATCACGTCATTCGTGGTTTGACTAGTCGAGACTGTTTTCCAAAGATGGCTTCTGTCTGTATACACGAAGTGGACTGTCTTTATAAAATATCTTCTTATTAAACGGTCTGTACACTTACAAAGTTCTCAATGCTTCGTTTTGCATGTAGGGACCCTCATTATGTTACTGTGTTCGGGTGGGGCTATTTTGAGTCTTGTTAGTGGTATAAACTAGCGATTTCTTTTTACTTATTAAATGCCCCCATTACTAGTGTTATACGCTAAACAGTTTTTAGAGATAAAACTCTTTACATTCGATTATCATGAAAATAAATCTCAGAGAACGGTTGACTAGGTACCAATGTTTTATTAGACCAAAGGTTCATTTTGCGCCGGAGTTCTCCTTTAAGGCTTACATTTTCATACATAGAGCTAAAAAACGTACATTTTGATTTAAAGAATCCGTCTCTTTTAGACTTCTACTATGTTGTTATTTAGCCTTTTAATGCTCCAAACCTCATTGATGCATGAGTGGCGTTGTATAGAGACGCCTCATGGTGAAAGATCTGTGTGTGTGTGTGCTGTAGGTGGATCTGTCGGCGGTGTGTGACGCGGGACCGCCTCTGTCCAGTATGGTCCAGAGAGGACAGGATCTGGCCAGGAGACTTCAGCTTCTTCAGGTGGACAGAAGAGAGATGGCCTGCCTGAAGTTCCTCATCCTCTTCAACCCCAGTGAGTCAGAGCACACACACCGACGGACAACTACACTTTCCCCAGTCAACCCCATAGCAAAACCTGTCCCAATCAACCTGAATCCCCAATGCTTTGTATAATAATAATAATAATAATAATATAAACTTTATTTCTATTGCACCTTTAAAAGTTACATCTCGAAGTGCTTCACTAAAATAAGAAAAGCATTCATAAAAGAGAAGTACATTCAAATACTCAATACACATATAAAATGTTATCAAAAGAGTTCCATAAGTAAATGGTATAGAAAAAAATATTTAAAGTAATCAAATAAAAGCTACCTTAAAAAAGTATGTTTTGAGGGAAGCTTTAAAGACGCTCCGAGATTCCTCTTGCCTAATCTCAGAGGACAGACCGTTTCAGTTTTAGTACATCGTAAGATCTTTCAATCCAAAGATGTGAATTTAACTATCATAAAATACTGTTTCCAAACCATGTGTTCAAGAGAGCCATCGTCACTGTTGCCCATCAAGGGATTTATGCAGTAAATGTGTTTCCATCATAGCGTCTTATTGGATAAAAAAACTAATCTGCCTCAATTGACCGCATATGTTTTTCTGCGCATTTTTAGTATTTATGGCCATCTTGATGTTTTCATCCAGCGTTTTTTTTTTAATGCAATATCCCAAAATGCGCAGAAAAATAGGTGGATGGAAGCAGCTAATGACAATATAACAGAGCGTGATCAAAGAAAATGAATCCATAATAAAGAGTTGTGGTAATATAAAGCCATAAACTGATGTGGTTGCACATTTGAAGAATTTTTAGGCATGATGTCACACATTTTACATTGAATATAAAGTAGGTTTATTTTTTCATGATAGTATAGAGTAGTTCTCAACCAGGGGTCAGAGCACACCTTTGTTAAATCTGACCTTCTAGTCTCATTTTACACTATTTTCAACATACTTTGATTTTAGGAGACATGAATTGCAATACTTAATGTATATATCTAAATACAGCAGTTTAATGAATATTGCAAGCACTTATTAAAATGAATAAAAACACCATCTGAAAGACAGTTTGCTCTTGTACGCAGCAACATACCCTTTCCTAGAAATGTTCAATTACAATTTCATTAGGCACAATAAACAAACATCTGAAAGGAGAAAACCGAAAACATTTGAAAGAGAAAGAATTCGTCATCTCCTCTCACTCGTCACATTGATGTCTTCATTCTTCGGCCAAATGAAAGCAGCTTTATTGAGTAATTTGTGTCCTTCAAACGCACTGAAAAGATTATTCAACATTTTAATTACTGTGTGAATGGCTCTTCTGCTAATCATTTAAAGTGCTCCATTAATGGGTCAGGCAATTGTCACCCTCACACACACACACACACACACACACACACGCACACGCACATACACTCACTCACACGCACTCACTCACACACGCACACACACACACACACACACTCACACACACACACACTCTCTCTCTCTCTCTCTCTCTCTCTCTCTCTCTCTCACACACACACTCACACGCACACACACACACACTCACTCTCTCTCTCTCTCTCTCTCACACACACACACACACACACACACACACACACACACACACTCACTCACACGCACTCACTCACACACACACACACACACACTCACACACACACTCACACGCACACACACACTCACAAACACACACACACACACACTCTCTCTCTCTCTCTCTCTCTCTCTCTCTCTCTCTCTCTCTCTCTCTCTCACACACACACACACACACACACACACACGCACACACACTCTCGCTTCACTCACTCACTCTCTCTCTCACACACACACACACACTCTCGCTTCCATACTCACTCACTCACACTCATTCTCACACACACTCACTCACTCACACACACACTCTCTCTCTCTCTCTCTCTCTCTCACACACACACACACACACACTCTCGCTTCCATACTCACTCACTCACTCACTCACACTCATTCTCACACACACTCACTCACTCACACACACACACACACTCTCTCTCTCTCTCTCTCTCACACACATACACACACACACACACTCTCGCTTCCATACTCACTCACTCACTCACACTCACACACACACACACACACACACACACACACACACACACTCTCGCTTCCATACTCACTCACACTCATTCTCACACACACTCACACACACTCTCTCTCTCTCTCTCTCTCTCTCTCTCTCACACACACACACACACACACACACACACTCGCTTCCACACTCACTCACTCATTTGCTTCCACACACACTCTCTCTCTCTCTCTCTCTCTCTCTCTCTCTCTCTCTCTCTCTCTCTCTCTCTCTCTCTCTCTCTCTCTCTCTCTCTCACTCACACTCACACACACACACACACACACACTCACACACACTCTCTAACGCTCTGCCTGCTCCTCAGACGTGAAGCTCCTGGAGAACCAGCCGTTAGTGGAGAGTGTGCAGGAGCAGGTGAACGGGGCTCTGCTGGAGTACACACTCTTCTCGTACCCTCAGTGTGTGGATCGCTTCGGTCAGCTGATCCTGCGACTGGCGGAGGTGCGTTCGCTGAGCGCGCAGGCCGAGGACTATCTGTGTTACACACACCTGTGTGGAGAAGTGCCCTGCAACAACCTGCTCATAGAGATGCTTCACGCCAAGAGGTCGACCGCGGTGTGAACCAGACTCTCCTCTACTGAGATGGATGTCGAACCGTTTTCCAAAGGCAATTATTTCATACCTAACGTGACGAATGTACAGATTTTATTTAATCTGTATTCCTTTTTATGCATGACAATCACTGATGGACACGGAGGCGTTTTTGTATTTGCAATAGTGTTTCCTTCTTAGTGCTGTTTTGTTATTCTCTGGGCTATAAGGTAATAATGGCAGAGTGTAATCTCTACAGAGTGCAACAGCTGGTTCCCGAAGTATTTTCTCCAGTCATTTCTCCAAAGGAAGTCTTTGTTAAAGCATTATAAGCCATGAAACAAACAAACCAGCTACAAGGGGAATCACAACATCACAAAAAAACATTGATTTGAAGCAAAAAAGGGTGAGAAGCAACGGTCCTAGTACTGAGCCTTGAGGTACTCCACACTGAGAATCACAACACTACAAACATCGATTTGAAGCAAAAACGTATTTGAAAATCGGTATGATGGTACGAATGAGACAGATTTAGTGAGGGAAAGAACTACAATCCCATGAAGCACTGTGAACACCATAATCGAATTAAAATGGAGAAACACAGAACTTATTTTAAAATGTTTATTGTATATAAAAACAATATATTTTAAGTTTATTGCAAAATATGCACAGGGTAAATGCAGATAAATTGGACTCTTTTTGTTAAATGTGTATTTCTTTTCTTTAATACTTTTGTTAACTTTAAGGCCCAGCTATAATATTTCAATTTAAATATGGTTCAAAATGTGTTATTTGCCAGGAATATATATATATATACCAATAAATATTTTGAGATCATGCACTCCAGACAATTTTTTTTAGGTAAAGTGGGCCGTCCCTAATTTATCAAAAATAAATCTTCATCCTAAATTTTAAAAGCACATTGTTTATTAACCTATAATTATACATTTATATCAAAAACAATTCAATTATATTCAACAAATGTATATATATATTTTTAAAAAATCCCCAAAACACATAAGGGCAATTTTTAAAATTCATGCGTAAATTCAAAACAATTGATAGAACGTGTTGAATATGAGACTATTAAAAAATCAGAATATGGAAATGAACTATACAACATTAAAATGTGACTATAACACATAGGCTGAATAAGAGGAACATTCAAAATGTTACCATTATTGTAAAACTAAAAAATTCTTTGCGTTTTACTACATTAACTGTGGTAACAAACAAAATAGGAAGTGTCACAATAATATTTGTTTACATTTAGTGAGCAACATTACAAGTTAGAGATAAAAATCTAATGTCAGAGGGTTCTCTACCTTCCTCTTCGGAGGTGTGGCCACGCCCACAAGTGTCATATTACATCAGCCAGAACTATTTTATCATTTAAATAAATAGTGTGACTTTAATTAAAGAACATTGTTATGCTTTGTATGTGTAAACCCATTGAGCAGCTTCAGTCAAGCTTTAAACGCTCGTTATATATTCAGACTGACTCGATTACGCCATTCGCGGAGCTTCATGGGAGTGGGCGGAGCTACAGAGCTCTTTTGGTTCATTTTGCTTGTTTCGACTCTCTGATAGGTGGAATTTTCTGCACAGCATCATGGGTAATGTAGTTTTCAGCACAATTATTTTAAAATTAAGTTGAAATAATGCGGGCTGACTTCTTTAACGGAAGCAAATAATACCATTGACTACGAGCTCGTAGCTCACAGCTGGGCTGTCTTTTGTGGTTAATAGTAAATATCACTTTCCCCTATGGAGAAAAGGAATGGAGTTTTTTAGTTCTGGAACCGATTGTTGCACTCTATTGTCTAAGGGCGATATTTATGTATCTATGTTATATACCTTATTGCTCCTGTGCTTTTAAATGGAGGAAGAGTTTTGTACTTTTCTTGTTTGTCAATTGAGTAGCTATTTAAAAAACGTTCAAAAAGGGCCTGTCCAAAAAGAATCAAAGTAAACGAGAGAAGGTATTTATTGAGATAATGTAATGAACAGTATCTATGAAAGTATTTAAAGCACATTTTACATAGATTGCACATTTATTTGTCTTTCCATTTAACTGAAAAATTTGTTCGCAATAAAACAAAAAATAAATAAAAACATGCTGGAGTTTGTGTGTGTGAGTGTATGTGTGAGAAGAGTGTGTGTGTGTGAGTGTGTGTCTGTGAGTGTGTGTATGTCTGTGAGTGTGTCTTTAGTGTGTGAGTGTATGTGAGTGCATGTGTGAGAAGAGAGTGTGTGTGTGTAAGTGTGAGAGTGTGTGTGAGAGAGAAGAGTGTGTGAGTGTGTGTAAGTGTGAGAGAAGAGTGTGTGAGTGTGTATTTGTGAGTGAGTGTATGTATGTATGAGTGCGAGTGTGTCTGATTGTGTGTGTGTGTCTGAATGTGAGTGTGTGTGTGTGTGTGTGTGTGTGTGTGTGTGTGTGTGCATGGTTGTGTTTAAGAGTTCCTGGTGTTGCTCTGCTCTGAGTGTCTCTTCAGTGAGAGCTAATATAAAGAGGTTCTGGGAAGGTCAGAAAACATTCACACACGTCCAGCTTTGTGGAGAGAGAGAGAGAGAGAGAGAGAGCTTTGTCTGAAACCATTCGAACCAATACTTTTTCTAATAATTTTTATTCTAATCCAATATAATTTCCTGTGTATCATTTTAAAAACATACAAAAAATGATTACAGAGATACTCACTTTCCACATCAAAGCAAAAAAAAGGTTTAATAGTGAGTAAAAAAGTAATACTGCAGTTTTAAATGCATCATACAAAAATAGGGAATGCCTATTACAATAAAATAATTATTTACAATAATGCATAATTCCAATTGGGTAGTAGAATTACAGCATTAATAAACCAACAAAATCAGTCTGAATGTCTTTTTAAAAATTTCCTGCAATAAGATACAAATAGACCACGTCATACTTGAGCATAGAGAAAATATTAAATCATGTGTTATTGATATACTGACACAGGTGTCATTGTCCAGTCTTCAGCTTCTGCACACGGAGGCTAAATCTCAATCACTAACAACAGTTGTGTGTCGATTAGAGGTGTGATGATGATCATACACTCCTGAACATCTACTGTACATACAGTAACATATTAAGATGATGCCACTGTTGTTGAGCTGGGTTCAGTCTCATGTTTCTGGAGATGCGATTACACACACACACACACACACTCACTCAGTGCTGGGAATGAGCCGGCCGGAGGATTGTGGAGGAGGCGTGTGTGTGAGTTATGTCTTGTGTAGAGTTATAGTGCAGGTTTCTCCTCAACAGCCTGTGGTGAAGCGGAGAGAAACAGCAGTGTGTGATTCCAGCGCATCATTTAAACATCAGCCATTTCACCAGATTATGAGCTGTGCTAGTGAAGAACTAGTGCGCCCCCTACAGTCTGAGTGCGGACACACACACACAACACACACACACACGGACACACACGGACACGGACACACACACGGACACACACGGACACGGACACACACACACACACACGGACACACACACACACACACACGGACACACACACACACACACGGACACACACACACACGGACACAAACACACACACACACACACACGGACACATACACACGGACACACACACACGGACACACACACGGACACACACACACGGACACACACACACGGACACACACACACACACACACACACACACACACACACACACACACACACACACACACACACACACAATCTCTCTCACACACACACACAATCTCTCTCTCTCTCTCTCTCTCTCTCTCTCACACACACACATACACACACACACACACACACACACACAATCTCTCTCACACACACACACAATCTCTCTCTCTCTCTCTCTCTCTCTCTCTCTCTCTCTCTCTCTCTCTCTCTCTCTCTCTCTCTCTCTCTCTCTCTCTCTCTCTCTCTCTCTCTTACACACACACACCTTTACCTGAAGGCTTGAAGGCCGTCAGCTGAACCACCTGAAACCAAACAGCCTGCTGGGATTTATTACGTCAAGTCCAGTTTATTTGTAAAGCTCTTTTTACTGTTCACATTGCTTTAAAGCAGCTTCACAAAAAATCATAATGTAATGTTATATCATAATATCATGCCTTATAGTTGTGTTTAGGAGATTAGAGATGGACGATTAGAGTCTCTTCTGCTCAACAAGCCGGCATTTATTAGATTAAAAATACAGTGAAATTGTGACATATATTATTTTATTTTAAAATAAATAGTTTTCTATGTGAATATATAGTAAAGTGTAATTTATTCCTGTGATAAAGCTGAATGTCCAGCATCATTCCTCCAGTCTTCAGTGTCACATGATCCTTCAGAAATCACTCTAATATGATGATCTGATGCTCAGTTATTATCAATTTATCAATGTTGAAAGCAGTTTTGCTGCTTCGTATTTTTGTGAAAACTGAGATACGTTTTATTTTTCTGGATTCTTTGATGATTAGAAAGTTCAAAACAATAGCATTTATTTGAAATAGAATCTTTTGCGATATTATACATATCTTTACTGTCACTTCTGCTCAATTTAATGCATCCTTGCTGAATAAAAGTATGAATGTTTTGGCAGTGTATCACAGTTTCCCCAAAAATATGAAGCAGCTCAACTGTTTTTGCAGCTTACCTGACGTTTGTGGGCTGGTTTTAATGGGAAATTCACAATTTTGTCCTCTTTAAAACATTCTAGAGGAAAGGACAGATGTTATATGCAAGTACACAGGCTTTTTAGCGCCTAAAAGTGGCAGTAACACGAGTCTCACACACCGTTCTTGAAGATGAGCGGGTTAGCGCTCGCGGGAGTCGAGCTCTCGCTGCTCTCGGGGCTGGAAAGAGTCGGCAGACTGTGTACCCATGATGCACTGGGGGACTTCTGCGAGGGCAAGAAGCTGATTGGCTGAGAGCAGTTCTGCAAGAGGAAATGACATCAAAAGTGAGTTGGATAACCGAGAAACGGGTCGTACGTGAATCAGCAAAAATAAGGTCTTACTGTAAATGACAAGGCTTTCCGCTTGTCCTGAATCCTCCTTAT